ATTCTGCTACAGAGTGAAAATACCCTAGCTTGCTTTCAGCTAGAGTTAAAAGGAGGCAGCTAATTCTCAGCAACCCTCATTCTAAACAAGTAGGTCTCCTGATACATAAAAACTGACTGAAGTTCTTATCCTTTCTGGAACATTGGCAATAGTATGGCAAGTCTCTAATTTCCAAGGTCATTGTTTTCCCTCTGTACAACCCAGTGCTGACTGGCTCCTTTCCAGTCTTCAGGCACCTCATCCATCTACCCATTGCTCTCAAAAATAACTGCCTAATGGCTCTCCAGTAACTTCAGCCAACTCTTAAGGGCTCTTGAGAACAGATCATCTGGAGCAGCTAACAGAACTCGTCCAACTTTCTAAAGTGGTCTTTGATCAGATCTTTCCTTGCTTTTACTTTCCTACATGATTTAAGTTGATTGGTCTGCTTCACTTCACATTCAGAGTTCTTTCAACCAGGAGCAAACCTTGATAATGCATACTAGTTTTGGATATAGAGTACAAAGTTGGGAGGAAAGAGAAAGAATATCTGAGACTAGAAAATTCCGTCTCTCAAACCAAAATTCCTCTCCTTTATCCAGCTCATGACTATTGCCTTCACCTGGTTGCCATGGAAACATCAGTTGCTGGTGGATGGTATGCAGCACTTCAGACAAAAAGTATCACAGGCTACCATGGTAACACCAAAAAGAGTAGATCTGCATCCTCTCTCCTAGAGGAGTAAGAAAGGAATAGATGAAGCTGCTGGGGAAAGCAGGCTAGAAGGGACAAACTTTGGAAAGCCTGGATCTGACTTTGATAGAGAGGGAATTAATTCAACAGACAATTTAATATGTGCAAGGCAAATCAATAATGAAAGACTTGTATGGTGGCTTCATCATGCTATAACTATCTAGTAAAAGAGTTTGCAAAGAACTGTAAATAAAGGCAGAATGAGACCCACAATAGGACAAGGAATAATGAAAAGGGAGATCAGATCCAACTAAGGAAGTTTCAGGGTCCTACAGGATAGGATTTTGACCAGAAATGGAGAAGAAAGAACAAGATGAGCAAAGACACAAAGGAAGAAAAAAATTCAGGGTCAGGCTGGGTTATAGGTCAGTGGTAGAGGGCCTGCCTAGCATGCCTGAGGCCCTGAATTTGGACCCCAGGAAAACAAAAAATAAATATTCCAGCATCCCCCCAAGAGCATAGATACAGAAAAAGGAAAAATGATACTTGCCCACTGACTCCAAGACTTGGCTTCTTCCATAGTAATGCTGAACAGTGGGTAAGGTTAAGGAGGAGGAGGGTCAAGAGACCTAAAGCCACGCCACTTGGATTGGAAACTTGAACTTGCCAATTGTGAGATTGTGCAGCAAGTTACTTAATCTCTTTGGGTATCAGTTTCCTTGTTTACAAAGTAGTCAATAATAACAACTAACCCTAGGTAGTTATTGTGAGGATTAAATGATTTAGTAGATATAAGCTATTAGTATCATGCCTAACCCACAACAAATCCTGCATAAATGTTAACAATTATATAACACATTCTACTTTATTTTCAGAGCCACAAGAGACTTTTTCATTGTCCAAGTATTACTCCCTGATTCTCACAGACCTTCTCCACAGGAAAGAGGGACTGTGGTATAATTTCTTTCAGGTGTTTAACTCACTTCCCTTCATTGTTTAAGTGACAAAAACAAAGGTTTACAAGTCAAGCCCCCTGAAAGCCAGAAATGGTAGCTCACATCTAAGGGCTGTTGGACCCAAGAATCCAGAATGACAAGAACCCAAGTTTAAAGAATAGGGAGGAAATGGTATTGCCTTACAGAAGACAGAAGCATAGGCTATATAAACCAAAAATCAGGTGAAAATTTCATTTATAATTGGCACTGGTAGAAGCCAGACATGGTGGTGCACTTCTGTAATCCTGACTACGTGGGAGGCTAAGGCAGGAGGATCACAAGTTTGATGCCAGCCTAGCCAACTCAGCAAGGCCCTGTTAAAACTTTTTTTTTTTGTACTGGAGATTGAACCCAGGGGTGTTTAACCACTAAGCCACATCCCCAGCCCTTTTTATATTTGAGACAGGGTCTCACTTTGGGCCTTTGTTTCTTTGGGCCTCGCTAAGTTCAAAGACTGGCTTTGAACTTGCTGCAGTTCTCTTGTCTCAGCCTCTCAAGTCACTGGGATTACAGGCATGCACCACTGTACCTGGCTCAAAATTAAAAAATTTTAAAAGGGCAGAGATGTAGCTTAGTGTTAGAGCACTTGCCTAGTAAAAGTGTGAAGCCCTGGGTTCAATCCCTGGTTCTGCAAAAAAAAAAAAAAAAAAGTGAGAACTGGGGAGAAATTCTACCTCTGCTGATAAAGGATCTGGGTCATAGTTTTACCTCTCTACCCACCCATGCTCAGGTGGGAGAGTTGGAGGGAGATTTCTTTCATGTTAGGCTGGGCACAAGGCTGTTCACTGTCCCCTTCTCTCCCCTCTATAACTACCCCCTATAGAGGGATGAGTTAACAAGATGATACTGAGTCATACATAATGACACCAGCTATCATCCATGAAATGCCATCACCTTACATAGTGTAAAACTAGAGCAGTTGTCTTAGATGTTTCCTTATTTCCACCACTGTCTTCCTCTTATCAAGAGACTATATGAAGAACTAAGAACAGGGAGCAAGGAGAAATTGAGGTAGAAGGACCAAAGTAGCTAGGATGAGAACATAAGGAAACCAAGCAAAAGTGGAGGCTCATCTGAGAAGGTGGGCACGGAGGCAAGACTTGTGGGTCTAATATTCTGGAGGAATCTAAGCAAGCACAAGGAGACCCAGTTCACAGCATCAGGATAACAATAATGGCCCACATTGCACTTCTCAAGATGCATTAGCAACTAAATCAATACCTATAGGGGGACTGGGCCATAGCCAGCAGTTCCTACCTAAAAATAGTGCATCTTCCTTCCCTTCCTCTAGGTCAATAGAGTAAACCAGGAAAGGACCGGGAAGGAGTGGGGCAGTAGCAAAGAACAGGGGCAGGTGAGACTGCTGACCAGCAAGAATCAGGAACTAGTCCACAGTCCCACTAGCCACCTGACAAGCAAGCCTCCAGTGCTTAGTGATTTAGTATAGAAAGCAACCTGAGAGTCTAACATCTCTACACAACATTACCCCACTTAGAAAGAAGTCTGAGAGCTGACAAATTAAAACCTATCTGCAATTATCCATATTTTTAGCATAATAAAGTCTTAACATTCTGTTGCCATAGAGATCAGTAAAGAATGAAGGAACCCCACAGAGCCCTGCCCATGAATTCAGGCCTTCTCCTTTGGTTGGTTCCTAGGCTAGTAAGCTAGCTAGGTTCTTTCCCACCCCTTGTTATACAGAGCAGGCAGGGGAAGGTGTAACTCCCCTTAGGCAGGGCTATTCCTGAAATACTCTGCTCTCTGGAAATTCACCAGTCCCAAGCCTGTTCTCAAGCAAAGCTATATGAAAAGCAAGGATTCAGAGAACTGGCCAAAAAAATAATAGATGAAGTCAGGTCAGGGAAGCCCTGATATAATATAATGTCCAGATCCTTTTAGATAGTGGATTGGGATACAGAAGGTGAAAGGTAGGCACAAAACCTACAGGGTAAAACTGTGAGCTTAAGAGAGTTTTTTGGTACTTAAGCTCCTCAAGATCACAAAACACCTCAAAGAAAGGTATAGAATGTGCTACTGTCACACTGCCATCTGGTGGAAAGACAAGCTTTGTCCTTAGGCACAGACAGGAGTCAAAAGTCTATTCAGAGGGCAGGCAGGTATGAAGACACTTGAGGTGATGAAGCCCTGGCAAGGTAGTGCACGCCTGTAATCCCAGTGACTTGGGAGACTGACGCAGGAGTTTCAGAAGTTCAAGGCCAGCCTCCACAACTTAGTGAGACCCTGTCTCAAAAAATAAAAAGGGCTGGGGATGTGACACAGTGGTAAAATAAACCCTTGATTCAATACCTAGTACCTGCCCCCACCACACAAAAAGATGACAATAGATGGAGACCATGGCTAAGAATGGAAGGTAGATACAGATGGGGAATTCCACCAGATGTGAGCCTTCTATTTTTTTCCATAAAGGTCAAATACAATAAAGAAAAGGCACTGGTATTATAAATGTTTTATATATCTCCCTGGAACCATCATGGTTTTGGCTCCGAAGTTTAACATCAGAACAACACACCAACTGAGACCGCATGGACAGCAGCAGCCACAACAGGGAGATTGGCTTTTATATAAAGTTTATATGTGTGTGTATGTATGTGTGTGTGTGTGTGTGTGTGTATATATATATATATATATATATATATATATATATATATATTATTATTTTTTTTTTTTATATATAATTTTTTCTTTTATATGTACATAGACACAAGGATATAAAATCAAGTGAGAAGGGCTCACCCATACTCAGGTAGGGGATGGGAGTGGCTTTAACCACCATGGTTGAAACATCAGTAGAGGCACATAGGAAGTGGTGGAAAATAGCAGCCTCCCCTCCATCCTCACACCCTAGGCCAAAGGGAGGACTTGAGAAGAAGGACAAGTGTACAAAGGAAGATGGGAAGGTATCCCACCTTTTACTTAAACTCCTGAAAGCCCCTGAGGCTTCATCCCAATTGCCTGGCAGGATAGATCACTACTGTGCCTCCCAATAAGATGATGAGCCTACAGTAGTAGTTCTGGCTTCAAGCTATAATTAAGCTGAGGCCTGAGCCAGGTGTCATAATGTACATGTCCATATCCATGCTATCTGCCAGGGTCCTTAAAGCAAAAGTCCAGCACCTTCAAAGTGCACCCCGTAACTCCAATGTCCTCTATATTCAGAGATCCTGTGATAGTTTATAGGGTAAAAATATAGGAAGAGAGGTTAGGTCCTATAGTTAATGCCCTATGGCCTTCCCAATGGAGGAAGAATCATTCAGAAGTGATGGGAAAGGGAAAGAAGGTGGTCTTGGGAAAAGATACACAAAGACAAAAGTGTTCAATGCAGGTGTAGATTGTTCTCTTCAACTGGGGGCTTTGCTCAGCAAAGTCCATTCCCAGTGGGGCATGGGCAGGAGCTCTTCTTGTTGTCTTAAGAGTGGCCCCAAGTTCCTCCGGAATCAATGTCCATGCCCTCAGGATGGCTTGGTCCACAAATGGAAGACAGGGCAGTAGAAGGAGAAGAGAGTGGCAGGACCCAGAGGGTACAGAGAGGTAGTGCGCTGTGCCACTGATTTACCTGTGACAAGGAAAAGAGGTAAATGAGAAGCCCAAAGAAAAGGGAATAACCAAACAATAAAATGAGCTAAGCCTTGAGACTCACATGGTTTGGGGGGTAAAGAGGCTGGAAAGCTGGAAGCACTGGGATGCAATTGCCTGGGAGGCAAGGTTCAAAGCTGGACTCAGAGCTAAAACAAAGACATGTAGAGTGATTTGAGTGAGCAAAAAGCATTCCTTTCTTCCAAGCACCAACCCTTCATTCCCTTTTCCAAGCCTATGTCTACCAGTCAGAGCTGCTGGGTTCAGGGCCCCCAAAGGAACTGCTCCATTCAGTTGTAAGGCAGCAGCTTGGGCAGCAGCAGCTGTGGTTGGCAGCTGGATTCTAGAGCCTAAAAGAAGAAGAGGTGGGATTAAGTACCAATCCTTGATCTAAAATTCAACCCTGTGTTCTCCACCCAGCAGATACTCTACCTTCTGCCAGTTTGGCCACAAGCTGCAAACGTCCACCTGCTGATCCCAGATCCAGCTCTTGATCCCCATCAGGAAAAGTGATGTCTGTGCCACCATCCAGCCGCTCAGTCACTTGGCCAACCCTCATAGGTCGACCAGCAAGTTCAAAACCATTCAACTGTTCCAGGGCCCGCCGGGCACACTCAGAGTCAGAGAACTACAAGAAACCCAGGCTGTGTCAGTCAACTCCTGGTCAGACATGTTCTCAAAGCCCCACTTAACATTCCCTGGTCCCGCTATCACAGGAAAGTTACATATTCACTATAGTACAAAATTTTCTTTCCCAGGGAATGTAACCTAAGATCCCCACTGCCTCAAAATTATCGTCTGAAAAAGACTGAGTGGCAACCACTTTTCAATATTCCAGCTCCATTAAGATATCTACCAATGCAAAAAGTATATCACCTGTAAGGAATCTAGCCTGACAGGCTGTTTTACAAATGGGAACGTAAAATGGAAGTAAAGTCTTCTCAGTTTTTCATTCATCCCTCAGGCTTAGTAAGTTTTAGTTCTCAATCAAGTACTAGGAATCCGGGACTCCAGAGCCCAGACTCTGGGACTCCAGAGCCCAAGCCTAGGAAGAAACACACTGTGGTATTGAGAGCAGACAGTATCCTCATCCCTACCCAATGCTGGCAATTAAATGATGGGCAGACAGTCTCTGCTCTTTAGTCCTTTTTTATCAGCCGCACCCGCAGTACCCAGTTTGAAGATTCCCAGTTGGCTGTTGGTATGTCAAGGCTGTTGACCAAAAGGCAGCAACAGAAGCCTTTCCATGTGTGAGTCACACAGAATTAGAAATCGTTACTTGCCACTAAGGAATCATCAACACCACAGCTGGCTTTGTTTACTCTGGTATTCCTTGCTGTAGGGCCTGGCATGTGGTACTGACAGTACCTAGGTGGTGGTGTAGGTGGCTTGCTTTTACTGGATACTTCTAAGGTGAGCAATTCCCATGACAGAACACAACCTACTGCTCTCTGCCCTGTAGGCAACTGTGAGGGCATACACTGTCTGGATTAAGCCCAGAAAATATCAGTTTCTATCCAATTTTGTGGCTGGCAGCCAGTTCTCAAACTGGAGTCACAAAAGGCTGGAAGAACCAGTTATAGGAAGTAGAAACAATTTTGTTGGGAGAGTCAGGAAAAGGCTGCCCATTACTAGGGCAGCCTCACTATTCTTCCTACAGTGTTGTTCCTATAGTGGTGTTGTTCTCAATGGAGAAACTGCTTCAAATGAGGTAGTGCCAGGGGGAAGTATTAACTTCCTATTCCCATCCTTATCATAAGAATGCACTGATTCTATAAATCTGTCTTTAAACACCCATGCCTAACCTCCCTCATGCCCCCAACCTTTTAGCTGCAGCCTGGAAACATTACTATTACCCAAAGAGCAAGATGCAGCACCAGGGAAGCTGGTTGAAATTCCTGGACACCCCCATACCAAGGCCACTGACACAGTGTAGGAGCAAAGCCAAGATCTCAAGCAATGCACTCATCTCAAGGGGCAGAAGGCTAGTCCAAGCTTCAGGCACCAGGATTTATGGGTCACTTAGTTCCTAAAGGAGGAGGATGAAGCTAAGCTGCAAAATCAGACAAGTGGAAAAACCCAAAGAAAAATTTAAAAACTAGAAGACAAGAGACTCACCGTAATAAAACCATAACCTTTAGAACGGCCTGTATCTGAGTCTTTCATCAGGATAATATTGTCAATCTGCAGAGGAACAGGAAGGAATTATTAATTATATTTTCAGTAGCCCACAAGCTTTCATCTCTCTTACTCAAATTATTCTAAATACCTCTCTCTACTTCCGGATAACAAATTATATCTTCCCAAATCACCTCCTTTTTTTTAGTCATCAATGAACCTTTATTTTATTTATAAGCAATGCTGAGATCGAACCCAGTGCCTCACACATGCTAGACAAGCGCTCTCCCACTGAGCTACAACCCCAGCCCCCCAAACCTTCTTTTAAAAAGAGACAAAGGCAGGGTGTGATGGTGTGCACCTGTAATCCCAGTGACTTGGGAGGCTGAGGCAGGAGGATTGTGAGTTCAAGGGCAGCCACAACAACTTAGTCCCTCAGTCACTTAGCAAGAACCTATCTCAAAAAACTTAAAAAAGGGGGCTGGGGATGTGGCTCAAGTGGTAGCGCGCTCGCATGGCATGCGTGCAGCCCGGGTTCGATCCTCAGCACCACATACAAACAAAGATGTTGTGTCCGCCGATAACTAAAAATAAAATATTAAAAAAAAAAAACTTAAAAAGGGTTGAGGGGCTGAGGCTGTGGCTCAGTGGTAGAGCATTTGCCTAGCACGTGTGAGGCACTGGGTTTGATTCTCAGCACCACATATAAATAAATGAATAAAATAAAGGTCCACCAACATCTAAAAAATAAATAAATAAATAGGATTGAGAATACAGACCAGCAGTAAAGTGCCCCTGGGTTCAAACCCCAGTATCAAAAAAGACAAAGGCCATCTTTTTCAAAAACACTTTTTCTAACTAATCTTACTTAATCTGGACCCTCTTATTTGATTTTATTGTGCCTGACTTGGTTTTCTACTGATCACCATGATTAGAGATAGAACCTAACTTTCATGCCATGGACCCATTTGCCAAGGACATATGCAATGAGTTAATCATAATTAGACAGAAGAGCAGTACATGCACCTACTCCACATTTTTCTCCTTCTTTCTATCTTTTTTTTTTTTTTTAAGTTGTAGATGAACACAATATCTTTATTTCATTTATTTATTTTATTTTTATGTAGTGCCAAGGATCGAACCCAGGGCCTTGAACATGGGAGGCGAGCACTCTACCACTGAGCCATAACTCCAGCCCCATCCACATTTTTCAATCCCCTTCACAAGTTTTCCTTTCTACTCACCTTGCCAAAAGGCTCAAAGATGCCCCGGAGCATGTCCTCAGTGATATTAAAGTGCAGGGAGCCCACATAGAGGCGCATTGGTCCACCAGTACCCTTCTGCAGATTGTTGGCCATGGCTGCCAATCGGTTTTTCTCAGCCTAAAAAAGCAGAAATACATGATGAGTTGTGTTCCACTTTCCTACCCACCTTTTATTATGTCACCTTCTTAACCTGCTCACCTGTGAGGCCTGTACAATGATAGGTACTCCCAGAAGTCGTTGCCCAGTCAGCCCAATGGCCAGTGGCACAGACTGCATTTCACAGAATTCCACATACGCAATGCCTTTAGAACGACGTGAGTTCCGATCTGAGATGATACGCACATCACGAACCTATCCCGGGACACAAAGAAAATCCTGCTGAGAATAAAGGTAGATAGATAGAAGATAAATTACTCAGAGGAACACTGAGTTGGGAAGGTTACCTTGCCAACAGCAGAAAAAAAGTCCTCCAGGTCTCGAGGCCGGATACGGGCAGCTAATTGCATACAGAAAACTGTGCGGGCATCACGCTCCTCAGGGCTCAGATTATCAATTGGCTGCCTAAAACATAAAACATGTTGAGACTGCTCCTCTCAATCCTTGGTTACTTTCTCCAGTTAACCCTCAAGTAAAACACATTCCTATAGTTTGGCTCTACCAACATTTTATTCATATTTCACAATCCCTAAAAGTGCTCATTATTAACCTACCTGACCGGGCTCTTCTCTTTGAAATGAGGGCTCTTACTATGTCCATACCTACGTCTAGAAACAGAGAAAAACAAAAATAAAACTTTATTCAATGCTGGGTCTTTCGTTATGAGAAAACCAGATTCCAGCACCTCATCTCATATATGAACTAGTAATATAGGTTGAGCATACCTAATCTGAAAATTGAGGATTGCAGTCAAAACATAGGCATACTAAAGTGCATTAAAGTTACCACCAATCCCATAGTATCTCATTATGTATATGTAAATATTATAAAATTGAAAACAATCCAGGATCCAAAATACTGCTGGTATCAAGCATTTCACCTAGGTGTACTCAACCTGTACCATCCCTCCAGTGACTGTGCAACCTGCCTATCACAGTGGGTGATAAGCACCCTCAGGCAGGATCCACAGTACACTTGTTGTAGCCAGAGTAAGACAGAAGGGTGACATTGTTTAGAAATGGTGATACCCAGTGGGAAGTGGAGGACTCCTATAGCGCACACGATCTTCACGTCGCCGGTCTCGACTTCGCGACTCACTATTATGTCGCCGATCCCAGCTACGGCTGCGGCTGCGGTGATGACGCTGCCGATCTCGACTTCGGCTGCAACTATTTCTCCGTCTATGCCGATCCCGTTCTCGGCTACGACTACAGATAAAAATAACCTCTTCTGAACTTTAACCTATAGCCTTCCATGCTATCTTCCCATTTTAACAATTCCCCAAATCTGGGCTGGGGTTGTGGTTCAGTGGCAGAGCACTTGCCTAGCATCTGTGAGGCACTGGGTTTGATTCTCAGCACCACATATAAATAAATGAATAAGGTCCATCAACATGTTTAGAAAAAAAAAACAATTCCCCAAACCCAACAGTTCCCAAAATCACACACCTGCGCTTTCTATCCCTGCTTCTACTATGACTCCGACTCCTCTTCTTCCTGTGAAAGAGCAGAAATTCTTACTACTGAGAAAGTTTTATTATCTTTCCCAAGGAAAAAGAATTAGAATAAGGACAGAGTGAAACAGAAAGCACCAAAAGACCAAAGCCCAGAAGATGATCTGGCAGTAGTTCACAGTAACTGCACAACACCAACTTACACAGAGCCCTGATTGCTGTCAGTCATCTGAAGTGGCCAATTTCCCCCCAAAGCCAAGCAAAAGTTGGTGTTTCCAAATCAGGGGTCCTCTTGCTATTTTATTCAAATGAAATATATCGATGCTAGGACTGATCCACAAATCTACACTGGAAAGCGAAGACTAGAAGATCATTAAACCAACTCACCAATGTTTCCATGACCCAGTGGAGCCATTACTAAATGTCAGCAGTCTTAAGAGCCACCGCCTCCCTATTCTGGCCGTTTCTCCAATGGATGCCGTTGTTTCCCTTCCCCAAGTTGCCAACCCGTTTCTTCACCCCACACTCACTTGCTTGTCTCCCCAGTGGTGGTGCTCACACTGGTACCACTGCCACTGTTGCCGGTGTTGCTGGTGGTATTGCTAGGACTGTCCTTTTTAACCTCTTTCCTTTGCTGCTCATCCTGAGGAGTTCGCCAGGAAAATATCACAAGGTACAAGGTGGCAGACACACAGATTCCATTGGGCAAAAAGAACAAAGGTGGACAAGGAAGAAATCAAAAGCTCTCGATTATCTAGCCAGTTTTGGAGCACCTGGATCTCCTAACAAGGGGAATAATAGAGGAAGCAAGGAAACTACCAAAAAGGAAGAGATCAGAATGACAGACTTTGATGTCAAATGTCAGCTACCTAACATCTGTTTCACTGACATTATGTCCCAGGAGAGTGAGAAACTGGCGCTGGTCTGAGGTTCACTGACTTTCTACTGTCACTGAGAGTTACCAGCAAAGCACATGATACCACCACCACATTATGTGCCCACCCCTGGCTTTCAGGGTCCTCTCTAAAAGAATGGTCCTTGAGTACAGGTCCCCAGCAAAGATTACGAAAGACTATGCCTTTTAAGAATAGTCACTGAGCATAATAAACAAGCAGGGAAAGAAGATTCACAAAATGTTTCAACCGATGATCCACAACTGCTCTTTCTTATTAACCCAATTCCAGGAGTGAGGTGGGGAATATTACCTCCTCTTTTTTATAGGGAGCTTCCAGCATGGCCTCAATCACTATATCAAAGTCATCAGATGCCATCGTGTCAGATCTGAGGAGAAGATATTAAAACATAAAAATCTGATTTATATTTTTCCTTCCCTTCTAGCACCACATTCCTTTCCCCCTCCAAGAAACAGACTTCAGGAATACAGTTCTTTTTCTTAAAAATTTAAAAGGATCTTACCAGCTATTGTTTATCCTACATTTATTTTTACACCCTACAGATCTAAACTAGTTATGCTTTGTGGCTTAGAAACAGTCAAGGGTCTATACCACAATGTTAAGGAAAATAAGTCAAATTCAGAAGGCTAAAGGTCATATATTTTCTCTCATACTGGGGAAAAGGAAAAGAAAGGTAGGGGCGGATCTCTTGAAAATCAAAAGGAGATCTGTAGAAGAAAGGGACCGATGTTTGGTAGGGTGCTGAGGAGTGACACTGGCCAAATTATATTGTTATATTGTGTATCTTGTGCATGTATGAACATGTAACAAATCCTACCAATATGTACCACTAAATATGGGGAAAAAAAGAAATGGTCATGGGTCTAGAAGGAAACTGAATACCCAGGTAGAGACAAAATACAATATAACCCTTATTCTGTGAAGAGAAAACACTGTCAAATGTTTGTTTCATTTTGGGGGTACCGGGGACTAAACCCCAGGGTATTCTACTACTGAGCTATATCCCAAGTCCTATTTCATTTTATTTAAGACAGGGTCTCACTAAATTGTCCAGTCTAGCACTGAACTTATGATCCTTCTGCCTCAGCATCCCAAGCAGCTGGGATTCCAGGCATGTACCACCACACCTAGCGGAAAATATTGGTACTCAAAATTACTATTCACTTTACAAGGGACATTAGGCTTCCATTCTACTGTTTAAAATTTCCACCTGGCTAACTGGCTTAAATTTATAATGTAAAAAGAGACTAATAGGGGCTGTGGCTGTGGCTGTGGCTCAGCACTTGCCTAGCACATGTGAGACACTGGGTTCAATCCTTAGCACCACATAAAAATAAAGGCATGTTATCCATCTACAACTATAAAAAGTTTTTAAAAAGATACTAATAAACTTAAATCATAAAAATAGGCACACATTTCCAATAAAAAAGTAAAGGCGCAAGACCAAAAATCAGAAGCAAGACAAGGCAAAACCAGAATGATGCAAATTTGCCTTAAGCTCTTCCGCACATGACCCAAACATCAATAATTAGGGCCTCATCACTAAGCATTTTCAGTGCAACATAAACTAGAGTTTAAGCAAGTCAGAAATATATTATGATTAAGTCAGGCATAATAGCACACATCTATAATGTCAGTGACTAGGGAGGCTGAGGCAGAAGGATCGGCAAGTTCAAGGCAAACCTCAGCAACTCAGGCCCTAAACAGGACTTTGGCTCAAAATAAAAAATTAAAAAATAGATGGGGATATAGCTCAGTGGTAAAGCATCATTTGGTTCAATCCTTAGTACCCACCCCAAAATACATATATGTGCATACGTGTTTGTGTGTGTGTGTATATATATTTTTCTTTCTTTCTTTTTTTTTTTTTAGTTAAAATCGCTTAACCAATTCCACTTTGAAGCCTTTCTGTCTGGAAGACATGGAAAAAGTGCTCACATCCCCCAAGCTTTCACATCTAGCATCTGTCTTCACTCAGGTTGTTTATCAGAGGTCTTTCAAATCAGAAAAGCAAAGATACCAAACAACATTAATATTAAAAATTATTGCTTTGGGATTATTGGATGAATCTACATGGATGATTCTCAAAATAATGATGCTGAGTAAAAGAAATCAGACCAAAACACTGAATAATTCCATTTATATAAAATTCTAGAAAATTCAGACAAATCTACAGTCACAAAAAGCAGATCAGTGGTTGTGTAGGTACAGGAGCAGGTGAAGGGCTGGGAGGAAAAGATTTTAAGAGGGCATAAGAAAACGTCTGGGAGTAATGTTTTATGGGTGTTTACACATAATAAGACCCAACCAACTGCACATTAATGTCTACAGTTTTACTGTAGACATGTAATTACTTATACATCAATGATACTGTAAAAAGAAAACTAACCTGAGGAATTTCTATCAAAATCACTTTCCATATCCACAAAAGCTTTATCTTCCTTAAAGCAGGTAATGCACAATCCAACAGTACTATTCTGATTGCCCTCAAAGCCCATACCCTACATTGATGCTTCAGTATGTGTAATGATTATACCTACCTACCTCATATGAATTGTGATTTCTAGGCACTGTTTTAAGTATATTATAGAGATAAGAATCTTAGAAGAAGATGAAAGAGGATGAAAATCAAACCAAAATCAAATAGGTGTCTAAAACCCAGTGAATTAAACTCTCATAACAGCACCTAATGATTATTTAGCAATCAAAGGTAATATATGCTGCAGATAATATCTGACCCATTCACAGATTTTTTTTTAATGAGATTTTTTTCAACTGTATAAAGTCAAATAGCTCAAATAAAGGGGTTACTTCTTGATTACAGAGGTCTTCTGACTCCAAATCTAACAATTATATCAGGTTACCTCTTTCGTTTGGTTTAAACTTAAAAGAAATAAAAAACAAAACAGCATACTGAAATATTTAGTTTTAAATATAGATCACTGAACATAAATGTTCTGATAGGTTTATCAAAACAGTCCCATTTGTCACACCTTCACAGCTTCTATATCTGTGGCTATACAGTATATGTTTCAAAATATCACAAACTACACTAATGACAACATGTATTATCTGGCCCACTGTGGAAAAATGGGTCTAAAAATAAGTTTTCGACCTTAAAATCATTTTTCAGTTACTTTGCCTGCCAAATCTACAAAATTTTTTTTAATATTTATTTTTAATTGTAGTTGGATACAATACCTTTATTTTATTTATTTATTTTTATGTGGTGCTGAGGATCAAACCCAGGGCCCCCCATGTGCTAGGCGAGCACTATACCACTGAGCCACAACCCCAGCCCCAAATCTATACAAATTTTCTAAGTGTTAAAAACTCTTGGGCTGGGGATGTGGCTCAAGCGGTAGCGTGCTCACCTGGCATGTGTGCGGCCCGGGTTTCATCCTCAGCACCACATACAAACAAAGATGTTGTGTCCGCCAAATACTAAAAAATACATATTAAAATTCTCTCACTCTCTCTTTAAAAAAAAAAAAAAAATTAAAAAAAAAAAAAAACTCTTCTTTACAATCCGCTTTTTCCTCTCTAAATTAAATGCTTTTAATTTCAAGAACTGCTATCATTGAGTGGAATCATAAAGCACAGGTAACAAAACATACAAAAACTTTCAGTTAGGGGGCTGGGTGTAATACAATGTGCTTAGAATTTTAGCATGCTGGAGGCCCTGGTTCAATCCCCAGCACCAAAAGAAAAACAAAAACAAACAACAAAAACCCCAGAAACTTCCACCAAAGTTGATAATCCTCTCCAAATGAACTCTATGTATGAAATTTTCATCCTGAAACACATCTAAGTACGGACATATTGTCATGTGCCATATAAAGTTGATTCTGTCAATGGACCATATATAAGACATGGACCATAAGATTATGCTGTTTAATAACAGTAGGGGCTGGGGTTGTGGCTTAGTGGTAGAGTACTTGCCTAGCATGTGTGGGGTACTGGGTTTGATTCTCAGTACCACATAAAATAAATAAAGGTCCATTGACAACTAAAAATATTTTTTAAAAAATAACATAGTAGCCCTCCTAGTTTGTGAAAGTACACTCTGATATTTTAAATGGGAGGAAATTGCCTAATAACACATTTCTCAGAACATACCTCATTGTTAGGCAATGTATGACTGTAGAACATGTTAATGTGAAACTGGCAGTCTCTCTGGGTTGTGTCTTTTTAGATGTCCTAAAAGCAACAAGGTGCCAAATATACATTTTTAGTTTGGTAGTTTTCCAATTCTATATCCCAGTTTATGGGTCAAGGTGCACTCAATCCCATCCATATATACACACCAGTGTATGTTTCCATCTCTGATCAAAAAACTACATCAGAAGCTTACAACCACTGCTGTGCTTGAACTTTGTAAACACCACTGTTGAAGGGGCAAAGAAGAACCACTATTCAGGAAGAATACACCAAATCCTGGAGTCACTGGACTGATGGAAGCACCATTTCCTGGATTAAATCACTGAGGCGGAATAAACAACTCCAAAACGAAAGGCAGGTTAATTAATAACAAGAATTAGACAAAAAGGACTACCCTCCCCATGTTGTGTAATGATCCAAAATTGCTCTTTTAAAAATGGTCCTATAGGGCTGGGGCTGGGTTCAGTGGTAGAGCGCTCGCCTAGCTTGTGCGAGACCCTGGGTTCGATCCTCAACACCACAAAAAAAAAATAAAATAAAATAAAGGTATTGTGTCCAACTACAACTAAAAAACTTTTAAAAATAAAAAATGGTCCTGTAAGGGCTGGGGTTGTAATTCAGTGGTAGGGCACTTGCCTAGCATGTGTGAAGCGCTAGGTTCCATCCTCAGCACCACATAAAATAAATAAAAAAGGTATTGTGTCCATCTGCAACAAAAAATAAAATAAAATGGTCCCATAAGTAACTTGTACCATCGTTGCAAATGCCAGCGTCCCAGTGCTCCAACCTCATGAGGCCTCACCATAAGCTAGAGAATGTGTGTAGTCGAAAATTAAAAGCTCACAGAGGCCAACACATTAAACATAAGTTTTCAAGGAACTGGGAATTGAGGAAGAAATCTCAATCCCCTTATCTCTGAGTGGTGGCACCAGGCACCAATGGTAGAAAGATTATATGGGTCTTCTCAGACTGCGGAGGGTCAAAGCTCCCTCCCCAGAATGAGCGACCTTAAGTGCCACGGCAGGGAGGTCCGGAAAAGCGATGTCACTGGCATCCTTGAAGCCGCATCTTTACCGGTATAAGTTACAACCATGAGATGCCGATATCTAAAGTCACGCCAGTGGGCTACATTTAGATAGTGAACGTTTCCAGAACAAAATAAACAAAAAGTTGGGTTTTCTGTTTTTGTTTTTTTAATTTTAAGTTTGCCTGATTTGCTCATGACGCCATTTTCTGCCTGTGACGTCAGGGGGAGGCGCCGCACAGCAACGTCACACATAGGTGACGTAGCGGCGGGGGACACAGTTTCGGGGTTTCTCACCAGTTCCGGGTCCCCGCAGGGGGGTCCCGGTTCTCTCCGTTCCTTTAGGTGTGTGTGGGGCGCGAAGCTCAGCTATATCCTACGGTCTCCGCTAAAAAAAGCACAGCAGTCAGACCTGCTCCTCTTCCCGCAAAATGGCGGCACCTCCGCTATCTTCCAGAACCTTCCGCAATCTGCGCATGCGCCGGAAACAGGCGCTGGACCTCATCTCTCTGGTTTCGCGGCAACAGTCCAAAGTGAGGGTTTTCATTGGCTAAAACTCTTAAGTACGGGTGGAGCCAAACGTAAATGTCTCTTAGCAACCATCAAGTTACCACTGATTGGCCAGCTTCTGAGAGACTCAAGGAAAGTGAAAACCCCTTTGGTAGTTGCCTTCACTCTCTCATTGGCTAAGTGACTTGCGGAAGGTGGGGAAACCAGGTCCAGAACAAGAGGGAAGGGCCCACCTGTCCCATTCTGGGTACTAGCACGGACTGGGCCTAAGCGGCGGGCGGAGCCAACGTGGAGGGACAGAGGGTGGAAGGATGTCCTTGGCAGTCTCTACTGATTTGCGAGTGTCTGTCCTCCCAGAGACTGTTTTGTGGAGAGTAATTGTGTTGTTTTCTCATGGGGGATGTAGGCCTGCACACCCCCTTTCTCAGGCAGCTTTTTACCCAACACCTCCTGACTCGGGTACTTGGGACCTGTGAAACGTAGTCGTGTGAGATTTGTCTGCCATGTTCTGCGTAGTCCCACACATTCAATTCAAATCATTGCTGGCCCCCCCCCCCCCCCCCCCCACCACAAGGTAAGTTTGAGACTGTTTCTCAGTATATTTCCTTGGATTCAGTAGTATTTTGCCCTCTGACCAGGGATAACTGAGCCTACTCACACTTTCCAAGGGCTTCGACACAATGGCTGCCTAACATAGCTGGTATAATCAGCTGGTTATATCGTGGAGTCAGAGGACCTGATGAGTTCTGATTCAACCCCTTTCAAATCCAGGGACGCTTTACCACTTAGATACATCCTCAGCTCTTTGAGGCAGTCTCTCTTAAATTGCTGAGGCTGGCTCTCAGCTTGGGATTCTCCTGCCTCAACTTCCAGGTCGCTATGATTACAGGCAGGTGCCAATAAGCTTGGCTAGATTTGATTTGGATATTTAATGTCATTGCATTTATTTTTTCTTCTTCAAAATGGAAAAAAATGGACTAACGATCCCAGGTCTTCAAACTGATTTTATTTAAAAAAAATAAAAAATAAAAAAATAACTTCTTGCTGAAGATACCTAGAGCTAGGCTTTCAGTGTCTCTTCTCCCAAGAGGTAACAAAAGGAGCTGGCAATGCAGCAGCTCAGGAAGGCAGAAGCCTTCATGTTTTTCCAAGGTGGTGAACTATGCCTCCTTCCCAGAGAAAAACCTAACCCCAGGTCTTAGTGGCAAGAACTCCCTGTAGCTAATCAGAAAGGACTATATGTAGGAGTCCAAATGTAACCACTTAGCATTTGAGGGTTTTGTTATTTCTTGTGGTGCCAGGGATGGAACTCAGGGCTTCATGTACTCTAGACAAATGCTCCACTGAGCTCCACACCCAGCTCTCACTCAGCTTCTTTAGTGGAGAATAAAGCTAGACCCCTTTGGATCTTAGGATAATAGGACAGATCTGATTATGCCTGCATCTGAGTGAGGTATGGGAAAACAGAGGCTGGGGGTAGGAGGGTAGAGCAGGAAAGGGCCATAACTTCACTTTATTTGTACTTCCTCTTACACAAAACCATCAAAACAGGAATAGAGAAGGCAGGGAAGAGCTGAAAATTTGTTTAATCCACATGTTCTCAGGGCTATTCCACGAAGCTCTTGAAGCTGAATGCTTGTTGATGTAACTTCAGATCCAGCACTACTAATTTCACACACCCTGGTCTGACGTCTTCACAGATTGGTGACTTGGGCTCTGCAATTTTTAATCCCTTGCCCACCTTGATATAAAGTAGGTAAACAAATGGAAATGCTCCTCTGATGGACAAAGAATTCGTAGATGTACTGCACCCACAGATGTACGGCACCTTCTGTGCTATAGGAGAACCCAGAGCTGCTTCCAAGGCTCTAGACTCTTGCACACAGGGCTAGAGGCCAATAGTATATGAGCGACCTGTGGGGTTGTGAATAGCAGAACAGACTGGTGCTGTCACAGCCCACTCATACCACACCTTCTTGGAATTGCTGCATCTCCAGAAACGCACACAGATGGTCTGGCCTTCACGCACCGTAATGGGCTGCTGTAAGAAGAAAGAAAAGAAGGTTCAGGGTAGAGCTAATGAATTTTAAGTGGCAATGTATCAGGGTAGGTGTGGTAAATGACACAGTAAGCCATTCCAATCCTCATAAAACTTATTTGAAATCTATCAGAATACAGAACAATTGAACATTGAATAAACAATTACCGGTGGAGATATTGAATAAATAAAGGTTGGATGAGTGCTGTGAATGTGTACAGGGTGCCAGAAAGCATCTATGAAAGAATGCTACTGGGCACAGTGGTATACAATGTACACCTGTAAGGCTCAGAAGGCTGAGATAGGATAGCAAGTTCAAGGCCAGCCTGGGCAATTTAGTGAGACTCTGTCTAAAAATAAAAAGGGCAGGGGACATAGCTCAGCAATAGAGTGCCCCTGGGTTCAATCCCCAGTACTTAAAAAAAAAAAAAAAAAAGGTGGGGGGTGGTGATAACCTAGGAGGCCAGGGAGTTTTATCTGACACATGAAATATTCAAGTAGATCTGAAAGATGGGTGAAAAGATGAGCAAGGCAAAGAAAAGAGATGTGAAAACCTGAGGCAGGAAAGAAGGAATATTAGAGAAATAAACAAAAAAAGGTACATAGGGCTGAGGCAGTGGGAGCCAGGGAACAGCAGCTGAAAAGGTAGCCAAAAACTAAATCATACCAACTCTTACAAGCAGTTTCAGATTCTGACCTTTATCCTATAGGGGAGTAAAAAGGCATTTAAGTGTTTTAAACAGGAGAACAATAAAATCAGATTTGAGTTTTTAAAACATGACTCTTGCTTTAAGGTAGAGAATAAAAGAGAAGCCAGAGTAGATGCGGGAAGGCCAGGTTGAAGGGTACTGCAGATAACCCTACGAGGACCTACGAGGACCAGAACAACACAACATAGGTCATAGCAAATATCATCCTGAGAAAAGGAAAGAAGCAAGCACCAATGGCAGAAATTACTCCTTAACCTAGTCTCCCCCCTCCCCCAATGCCTCCCAGGACTGGGAATTAAACCTAGCGAACTCTACCACTGAGTTAATATCCCCAGCCTCCCAGCCTCTTTTTTTTTTTTTTTTAAAGAGGGTTTCACTAAGATGCTAAGACTGTCTTGAACTTGCAGTCCTCCAGCCTCAGCACCCCGAGTTACTAGGATTACAGGTATGCCCCACTATACGTGGCCCTACAAAGTTTTAACAGCAATTCCTACCTTAATGGGGAATAGGATGGGAAACCATGAGAACATCCCAGGAGAGTGAGTCTCTGGACGAATACCTGTGCCAACAAAATAAAGAAAACAATTGATATATACATGACTATGCCTTTTGCTGAAGTTGAAAAGTGTCTCTTCTATGATCATGGAAACAAGTAATCAAAGATTTCCACTGACTCTGGGGCTTACTATGAATCTAAATGAGACATGTAGGGCTGGGGATGTGGCTCAAACGGTAGCGCGCTCGCCTGGCATGCGTGCGGCCCAGGTTCGATCCTCAGCACCACATACAAACAAAGATGTTGTGTCCGCCGAAAATTAAAAAATAAATATTAAAAAATTCTCTCTCTCTCACTCTAAAAAAAAAGAGACATGTACACAAACTCCCCAGACAGCACAACCTAATACCCTAGTCCCCAGACACTCACTCAGAGTGATGTCCTGATAAAGCACAGTCTCAAAGTAGCCTGCAAACCCATGTAGCACAGTGTTCACTTCCACAGGAAACTCCAAGGTACAGTAACGGTTGTTGTCAATCATAGGATCTGATAGGAAAGATTATGGGGGTGATGAGGAGTCAGAAGTCCTGGAAAACTTGGACTAAAGCATGAGAAGACCCAGAAGGGAAACCTAGATAGGGCAGACTTAAGAGAGCAAGTGGAGAAAGCAGGAGGGTGGGTGAGCTAACCATGCAGGAACCTACCTCTGTTGGGATGGCTGAAGGTGAAACAGGGCTGGGGCGCAGACAGCTGGTGAAAGTTGTGCAGCCGTACCACATAAGGCATCTCAAACTGGGCCTGTCCCAAGTGAGAGAGAGAAAGCAAGAGCTGGAGAAGACAAGAGACCCCTACTTCCCTGGGGAAAAAGGCTAAAGACCCAGGGACACAGAAAAAGATAAGTTTTACTTCAACCACTTTCCTCCATCCCCAACTTCTCTTTCATCACTTCATCTTTTCCATTGGAAGAAAACAGTACTAAAGAGTATCACTTCCTTCCAGAAGAGAATAGTTTTTTACCTCGGGGTCACGGTCCTTTTCCCGACAGGCTCGGACTTCATTGTACAGCTTGGAGGAGGAGATGGGAGCCAAAAAAGAGGTGTACTCCCCAGGGATGCTCACACCATCATCTGCACAGCAGGAAGGTCAAAGTAGGTAAATGGTATATATCTACACTAATCAAAGGTTCAAACTTCCCACATCAAAACTCATAGAAGGGTGCCATTGCCATGACAGGAAGACAGCTTGATACTGTCACATTCACAGACTGGCCTATTCCTAACTTATCATCATGAGGGATTCTATTTCTAGGTTAATTCATAGAGTCACAGATTAAAATTGAAGAAACCTAAGATACAGTCATGCATTAATAACAAGTTCTGAGATGTACTACTGGGTGATTTTTGTCATTGTGTGAATGTGATAGAGCGTACTTACACAAACTAAGATGGCTATGAAATCACTAGGTGACATAATCTTATGAGACTACCTCATCTATGCAATCCTTGTTGATGGAAACATTATGTGATACATGACTATATTCTTAGGTTGTGGTTGTGAACTTTTGGGGAGTCACAAAGTTCCACAAAAATTCCTGATGATGGGCTGAGGTAGAGTGCTTGCCTCACATGCACGAGGACCTGGGTTCAATCCCCAGCACCACAAAAACAAACAACAACAACAACAAAAATTCCTGATGAAATCAAGCCCAATGTACA